GATATCCTTCTCAAATCTGGCAGATTCTGTCAACTAAACTAAATTTAGTAGGCAGTGGTCTTACCCTAGGAAAAGCCGCTTCTAATGTATATATGTTTTTGCTTTCCTAATTTTCAAATGACATCGCAAGTCCTTAATGACAAGCTTTTGGCCTGGTGGAGGTCATGTGTTTCAAATAAACCTGATGACCTTTCAATCTGAGTGCCCGATAACTGTTTATGTCTTGCAGAACGAGCATACAGTCTGCCAGAGCAATCCCGAGAGAAAAGGTATGGGTTCTTGTTGCCGCTGGGAGCAGTTCTGGGCAAGAATGCCATCTAGGGAGCAGAGCAGGGAAGAGGCCTTGGCACCCCTCGCAACAGGGATTGTAGCAGCGAGTTAGGGGAGCACTCCAGGAGATCTGTAAGCCCACACTTAAACCCTGTGCTGAGCTCAGACCTGCTCTTAGTGCTGTTCTCACTGCGCACGTCCTGCGGCGGGGATTTGCTGTACGCCACTGTGGGACATGTATGGTAGGGATTGGGTCCTATCCACTGTAGGAATATCCAAACCACCCTAATGAAAGGAAGGAAGCTTTTGACACCAACCATGATCTAGGCGAGCTTGTAAGACACTGGACATTCAGAGCACTCCATGGGCTAGCATTACTCCCTTTAATGAAGAGGGATTGCAGTCTTTTTAATAACATCAACTAAATCCATAATAAAACGCCTAATTGTACATATTAGGTGAAACAAGCTTCATCCAGATTCTGCTCTGTTTTAAGGGGCTGTTACCACTGGAATGAGGTTTTTTCACTGATCTCTGTTTTAGGATTCAGAAGGAGGACTGGTATAAATATATTGTACTCTCAAAAAATAACTCTGAAAAATGTAAAATGAGTCGGACTTTCAGCTTTCTGATGAACAGAATGACCAGCACACGGAATAAGTGCAAGGTAATTTGGGATTTATGTCTATATTATTATTATGTATAATTATGTCGCTGTAGTTATAAGAATCTAAATTTTTATCTAACAGTAAGTTGATTTTTATTACTAAACCACATAAATAATAGGAAGGAACTTTTATCTTTAATTCTAAAACTTATGCAGGATACCCTGAAATGGCCTTCATATTAAAAACTAGCTTTCATTTTAAACAGTAGCCTTAGCTGAGCAATATCAAGTATTTCCCTTGACTTTTTCATGTTATTAATAATCTCATTTGATGATTTAACCAAAGTTTAAATGCATAAATTGCCTTTAAAAAAGAATTTTCTTTGTTAAATATAACTAAGAAATATGGACCTGTTCTTGCAGTTATTCTCAATGACTGAGTCTCTAACTTCTACACTGGCACATAACCTGTTGAGTTTGCCTTATTTGAAGTTAATGGACCTCTTGCATGAGTAAGCACTGCTTAGGGTTCGAAAGTTGAAGATTTGTGGCCTGCACAGTCAAACATGCATACCATGGAAGGTAGATTAGAACCTACCCGTGGTTTAGTTTTGAGACATCTGAAATATAGATTAATAGCATCAATTAGCAGCTTGAAAGATGGATTTGGCCTACAGGATCTTTCCAGCTGACTTTTCAGCTGTTTTGCAGGCTTTCTAGTGCTCCGTCCTGTGCCCCAGGATATCCTATTGTACACAGATGTGAAGATGGTTGACTGAGACACAATCTTCACGAGTGGCAGAACAGATTGAACATGTATGTCTGGTCCGGCAGCCATATGTTAGCCTCTGTCTGTGCGATCTCCTAAAGTATAACTACCAGGGATGCTTGGAGAAATGTATACTCGTATCCATGGGAGTACTGTGAAAATAGGTAGAATTTATTAAATAAATAAAATAAATAAATAAAAATAGGTTATTTCTAATGTCTTCTAAGATCTAAAGACAAGTTGTCTTAATTTATATAACTGCAGCTTTAAATACAGAGGCATGAGTTTGCTTGAATGCCTCAGGGAGTTGTAGGCATTGATATTTGTTTGTGTGTGCAGCGAGTCAATAACATGTCTTAAATTTTTATTTTATGGCCTTTTTGCATCTTTATAAATGCATTTCTGCCAGTCTTTCATGGTAATGAATCCTGGCTTAATTGCTGGTGAAAGCAATGACTGCATCATTTTAGGAATTCAGCAATGTTGGATGTAATAATACAGTATACTGTTACAAGTCTTTCAGGACAGGGAATAAATGCTTTAGAATAATTTCCTCTTGCAAGGGAAAGTTTTAGTGCTTTTAAGATTGAATCGCTTTATCTTCTTTTCTGATGTCCCCCTTTTTTTTTCTTTTTTCCTGCCTCTGGTGTTGGGGATGAAGACAAAAAATAAAGATACCAAAGATAAAGAGAAATTGAACAGACACAATTTTACAAATGGGACTTTCTCAGGAGTTATCCCATGTATGGCCTGTGAAAAGGCCCTCCTGGGAAAGGAGTCACTGCAGTGCTCTCGTAAGTAGTTGATGGCTTTCACATGTGAACCTACAGTGTTCCAAATCCTGCTTTGAGATCCTGATTCAGTGTTTTGTTTCAAAAAGAAACTTTGCCTAGACTTGGGTGTGCCTCCTTTTTGTAATGACATGAGGTTGGCAAGGGAGAGAGAGGAGGTATGGCAGATGACAGTTTCAGAAGGAACCATGGCCATCTCCTAGCTGTACTTTACTCAGAAACTTCCTCATAGCCAGGGGCTTGTAACGTCAAAGCATCCTCAGGGCTACTTTAGTAAGTGGACCTGGAGGAGGAAAAAAAGTGAAGCCTCAGAGTACCGTTTTCTGTAGGCTGGAGACCCTGTTAGGTGTCAGGCTTTGAAACATGCCTTCTCTTTCAGATTGCAACGTGATTCTTCATAAGAGCTGCAGGGAGTGTGCTCCTGTGTGCACCAAGGTAACCTCCTATACTGCACTGTTCTTACTAGAGCATATATACTTTCCAAGGGGTCTGGAAACATTATGAACAAAAAAGAAAGTACACACAGACTGCCCAGACCCAGTCTCTGTATGCAAAGGTCTGAAAGGGTGTCAAAATGTCTTAACATGAGCAACAGAGCAAGAACTGTTCTTAAATAACAGTTTTTAGAAGAGAGTAATAAATGAGTTGAAAAAGATATTTCTATTTTTTAAGAATTGCAAGCTCAAATTGTGTGCCTGTAGGGATGCAAAAAGGGTTAAAAAGAAAAGCTCAACACCACAGATAGCCTCTTGTGTAGAAGTGGGGATCCTGTATGTCTGGAATAATGGAAAGAAGAGATGGAAGGGACTTTGGGAGGCAACCTAGTCTATATCACTCTCAGGCAGTCTCACTTCCGGGTAACAGTTTGGGCAGATGTTTGTCTGACCTGTTCTGGAAAATCTCTGGAGGAGGACTCCACAACCTGCCTAGGCAGTTGCTCCCAGTGTTCAGCTGTCACTGCAGACAGGGCAAAATCAGCACTAGAGCAGATGGATACTGCCTCCTTTTAAATAGGAATCTATGCATAGTGACATTATGATGACAGACAGTTTTCAAAACCAGATGTGTAAGTCTTCTGTCCTCATGGAATAAAGTGGGACTTGCAAAGAAGTATGCCACAGTGATATAGGTCATTTTTCAAATTAGTCTTTCTGATGTATAGTAAGTAGCTGGCTTATGCATCATGGCAGCTTGCGGGGAGAACATGTTTCTGTACAGACTCCTTCAGCATAAACAGGCTTTAAACTGGACATAAATCAGGTGGTTTTATTTATTTTGGTTATAGCTGTCACATCATTGTACAAATTTCTGGGCAACTTTAAGGCATTAGGACAGCTGAACTGGCAGGTTTTAATCACTGGGGCTGGTGGGTTATTTGTCAACAGGAAGCAAGAGCCCCAACCACCTCCCACTCATCTCAACAAGAATGAGGTGCAGAAAATGTTCACTGACCCACCTCAAGTGAAATACATGCCTAAGCACAACAGTAGCAAAAGGTATTGCAAAAGTCCACTTTGGGATGGAGATTGATTCTTCCTCTGATACCCAGGCTTGCTCTACTAGTACCCTGCCACAAATGCTTCAAGTGTATTTGAGTATAAAGTTGTGAATGTGAACTATTTTCTTGCATCTTTCACAGGCAGTATTCATTTAAAGAAGAATGTTGCAACACAGTGACTTGGTTTAGAATAAGCAGATTCAGTTTGGTATTGTAGTACAAATAATATCATTCTACTTTGAATATAGTTATTTACCAATATCCCATAAACTTGGATTTATTATGTATTGGTAGAAATTAGGACTATAGGACCACTTTCTTGAAGCCCTTTTGTGTGTTAATATATGGAAGTGAGTTACTGACTTGACTATTCAGTGTGTTATCAGCTATGATTTCATTACCATTTCGTAAATTTTTTTTTTTTTTTTCAGAAATCCAAGGAGAAGTATCATAATAAAAACAAACCCCAGGCTGGTGTAACAAGTAAGTTAGGAGGTGTAAACATAGCACTTCTAAGTGCTTGATTAAAAATCATGGGATTGACAACACAAACTTTCCTGCATCTTTTGTGCGTTTCTGTTTTTCATTTCAATAAAGTGTGTGTCTAATACGAGTAGGATTTTTTAAATAAAATGAGTGAGAGATTTACTTTTTTTTTTTTTTTCCCAGTGAGAATGAAAATCACTAGTAGTTAGTTCTGTCTTGTGCTTTTGACTGTGTCATTTACCATATGTACAAATATTTGGGTCTCGTCTTCAGGTTGCAATGTTAGAATGTGTATGATTTGACTTTATTTTTTTCTTAATATCCACACCAGAGCTCTTCTACTTTACATATAGGCTTATCTTTATATGCCATGGGAGATCATCACAGTCTTGTACCATGGCAAGTGGACACTCTTGATACCCACTCTAGGTTAATAGTAGGTCAATATGAACACCAGATAGCATTTCTCATAAGTGTGCTGGTGATGACATACTCTACATTGTCAAAATACTGTCTTGTGCTTTGCCTCACAGATTCCCTGCCTGGAAATGTCTCTCAAACAGTGCTCTTCCCAGTGCATCCTTCTTCCTCTATGCCTATTGGACTGGCTGCTGGAAGTAGGGAAGCCTTACAGCAGTCCCACTTGTTGTTCAAAAGTGTCTCCAGTGCCAGTTTTGAAAGGTAAAGGGAAGCTACCGGGGGACTATGCTAAATACATTATTTAGCATTACTAGAAAAAATGAAATAATTAAATAATTGTTTTGGGGTTTTATTCCCCTGCTGTAGACCTACTCCATTTTCTGAGCAAGGCTCTGAGAATAGCAGCGGGAGTTGCAAGTCACAGTCTGAAGAGATGTTACAAGGAGTAGGGACCTTTGCTTCAATGGATCCTTTTATGGTGGAAGGTGAGAAGTATTGCACAGATGTTGCATTTTATAACCTGTATTGGAAACTGCAAAATAGAAAAACTCCTTAATTGCTATAGGAAGCTACTGCATCTACTAAAACAAGAGTACCTATTTTTGATAATTACAATTGTGTCCTTCATTAAAATGTTACAGTCAGACACACTAATCTTAAAATACAACTTTTCCTTTCTTCCTTGTAACAAACTCTGTGATAACTTTTAGAATATTTTTGTACAATATTACCAGTACAGCAATATACTTTTCTTCTGCACTCATCTAATCATCCCCATTGACAGTGTACATTGCAAAATGTAAACCTATATCACTTGTATTTCCTGAGTAGCCCCAAAACCTTACCTCTCACTTGTGAACTGCCCTCCTAAAATGGCCACATATCACTGTGAAGTGAATAAAATAGGCTTTTTGTGTAGCTAGGTGTGAGACTGAATTTCAAAGCTGAAGGGCATTACAAAGGATGATGCAGATATCTCTCACTGGACATCTACTTTTGAAAATGTTGAATTTTAAATATTAAAAAGTTTCTTCAAGTGAAGAAGCATAAAAAGGGTTTAACCTGAGAAAAGAAGGGTGGTGGTTTTTAAAAATTCTCCTCCCCTCCTCCCCATTTGCATTTCACCACTTTGGTGATGATATTGACATCTAGAAAGTGTCTCTTTCGAAACATCACTGCCAGTGTTTGCAGAAGCCTTGTCTAGAATTCTGTGACGCATTCCCCTTACTATATGAATGGTTCTGCATGTGCAAAGGGACTTCTCTGACTGTTCATGTGCCTGGTGTTAATGAGGTATACATTTTGTCATAGATGATGTGGATTTGTCTCAGTGGACTGATCTCCGCACAGATGTACAAGAGTTTGAGGCAGAGTCCTGGAGTCTTGCTGTGGATCCAATATTCTGTAGCAAGCAAGAAAAGGATGTTGTCAAGAGGCAGGATGTAATTTTCGGTCAGTACTTCAAAGATTTGTGTAGGTTTAAAAACAATTTGGCATAGAAAATAAAGAGGGAACCTGTACATTTTATGCCCAGAAGAATGAATGCTTCAACTCAGAATAATAACAACTCTCAAAGAACATTTTTGTCGCAAATTAAATGTGTCCTAGACCTAAGGAAATGGAGAGTAGTGAGTATCAGAGACATTCACAGAATGGCTGAGGTTGGAAGGGACTTCCTCATTCAATCCCCAGTTCAAGCAGTTGCAATCCCAGCTTGTTCAGTGGGGTCCAGTTGAGAGAGCCAGATAAATTAGGTCTTCCTACTGACATAATCTATAAGGTTTGAGGGTCACACAGGAAAAATTATTATGATTATATATTTGAATGTTGCTAAAGTGTATCTTAGAAGCTGTGAAAAATGTTCATGTTACTATACTATGCTGTTTTCTTTTATACTGCAGAGCTGATGCAAACAGAAGTGCATCACATCCATACCCTGTTCATTATGTCTGAAATATTCAGGAAGGGGATGAAGGAAGAACTGCAGCTGGACCACAGCACAGTGGACAGAATATTCCCCTGCTTAGATGAGCTGCTGGAGATCCATAGGCAATTCTTCTGCAGAATGAAGGAGAGACGGCAGGAATCATGTGAGGCGGGGAGTGAACATAACTTTGTCATAAGCAGAATTGGAGACATTCTTGTGCAGCAGGTAGAGACATCAGATCTGTTAATCCTTTAGGTAGTCAAGGTTCCCAGTTTATTGACTTTTAAAACTTCTGTGGGCAAGAAGAGGGCTATGGTTGTCTCAAAATTCAAAGACTGTCCCCTCCAGATTATCGCAGGGTGAAACAGCAGTGAGAGAAAATCATTACAGACAGGTAACCATGATGAACTTTGGATGAACTTCTACCTATATGGTACAAGTGATGAGGAAAGTGATGAACTTGGTTCTGTTCACAGTAGAAGGCTGCTGCCATGATACCATGGACTGTGAAAGATGGAAGCAATGGATTCACTTTTTTAACAGTTGAGCAGAGGGATAAAGAATTGACTGATAATGGAAAAAAATACCTGGTCACTTCTCGTAGTGATCTGGCATGGTGCATCTCAAGTTGTTTCTCACTAGAGAAGGGGTGGTCGCAGTGTGTTTATGGTGGCCACAGAACAGCAGACTAACTGCTTTCTGGTCACATTTCAGTTCTTTGCAATCTTTTTACCTTCAATCAGTCAGTTTTCACTCCACTGAAATAAAGAAGCTGAACCATTACCTTGTCTAGAAGTGGTGTGAAGATCAGACAAATGCAAATAAGCCTCAAAGAGATTGTGTTTGCAAAGAGGTGAAGAAAACACTGTTATAATTGTTCTAGCTGTTATGGCAAGACTGTAGCAGAGGTTGCTTTTACTTTCTCCAGTCTACATTCCTCTTCTTGCTCCTAAAAACAGCTAGCCTGTTTTCATTCCACAGTGACAGGCCCTGGTAGTGAAATTCAAAAAACTTGAGAAACAAGTAGCTTAAAAGTTCCATATTTGTACAAAATACATTAATTAATTAATTAAAGGTATACACTTTCCTGTTAGGTGCACTGTTGACCACAATTCACATTAATTTCTTCAGTTTTCAGAGAAAAATGCATCTAAAATGAAGAGAATATATGGAGAGTTTTGCAGCCATCAAAAAGCAGCTGTTAATCTCTTCAAAGAATTGCAACAAAACAAGAAGTTCCAGAATTTTATTAAAGTAAGTTTACATTGAAATGTGATTGCTATGGACAACTTTTACTTAGGTTTAGGATTGAAATTCAGTAACTCACTTTAAATAGCTAATAAAAATAGTGAAGTTTTTTTCCTCCTCAACCTGTGAGCTGATAAATTACATTTTTCTTTCAAATTTTAGAAAACTTTGGCATCCAGTCTGTATTACACATGTTCTTGTTACAGTACACCTCAATCCTCAGGGCAGAAACTGTTCCTTGGGGATGGTTCAGATAACCCAGCATTTTGTTTTAGCTTATTCTAATGCATTTAGATCATATTTCTTATTAGTCAATTGGTGGTTTAATGTGCATTTACTACTTAAGGTATATATTTGTGTCTGTGCAGCTGAGAAATAGTAACCTGTTGGCACGACGCCGAGGAATCCCCGAGTGCATTTTGCTTGTCACCCAGCGAATCACCAAATACCCTGTTCTGGTTGAAAGGATATTGCAGTACTCAAAAGGTGAATAAAAGCTAAAGTGTTGCTTCATGTCTGGAATCCTAGCGTGTTTCTAATGCAAGGAATATGCATTGCTGCTCTATAACAAAAGATGAAATTCACTGCTTTGTAGAGAACCAGGGCAATGTATGTATCTACTGTTTGGGCAAATGTCACCTAAGCAGCGTGTCTGTTGTATGTAACTTTTGTCAAGACAGTGCTGTGAAGATTTCTAGTATTCCAGGTGTGTAAGCAGTAGAAGTCCAGAAAAGCATACTTGTTTTAGTTCACATCCTCTAGTCAAGATCTTTTCCCAATTTGGGCATGCATCTGTATCTTATTTGAAATTAATTCTGGTGTAATCTCTTGTAAGTAGGGCTAGTCAAATGTTTTGTAAATTTCTCTCCAGTTTTCCAACCAAAACTTGAAGGATATCTGGAATTTTGTAGACCATTTTAGAGATATGAATAACATACAGGTATTTTCTCTTCCAATGGGCAATAAATGAGTGTTGTGGAAAGCTGCATATCCAAATGCAAACTCTTTGTGCTTGCAATCCTGTTTCAAGAGATTTTTTTACTTAGCCAGAATAGTAATATACTATATGATTTACTTAGGCAGTAAATTTTTTAAATGCTTACAGCTCATAAATATATCAGAAACTATTCATTGTGTTTTTTTGACTAATGAATATATCTGAGGTACATGTCATCTTTTAATAGGCAAGTCAAACAAAGGTAGATGCCTCTAATATTTCTAGTAGATCAATTGTCGGGTTCAACTTAAAATGACATATTTATCAATTTAAGCTTTGCATCATGTTGATTGTTCCCAGTAAGTAAGGAATTATATCTTTTCTTTGATGTGCTGACTATTTTTTTTTTTTTTTTTTTTTTTTTTTTTTTATACAGAAGGAACAGAAGAACATAAAAACTTATGCAAAGCTCTTTGTCTAATTAAGGACATGATTGCAGCAGTAGATTTGAAAGTGAATGAATATGAGAAAAAGCAAAAGCTGTTGGAAATTCTCAGTAGAACGGAAAACAAAACATATACAAAGCTGAAAAATGGCCATGTTTTTAGGAAGCAAGACTTGATGAAGAAAGAAATAGTACTTCTTCATGAAGGTTTAGTGTATTGGAAGACAGCAACTGGTCGTTTCAAAGGTATTCCATCTGAGGAGTTAAGTTCTTTAGCACTTTATTTGCAAATAACGTATGAAGTTGGTTTGGATTTAAGAATGAAAACACTTTATTATGCTGTATTGCAAACACCAGTTTATGAGGTAATGGTATGGAGAATATGCTGCTAATTGCTAGAAGAGTAGTTCCAGAAACTGCCATGATTTGTGGGTAATTCACTGCATATCCGGGTAAGAAGACAAGTTCATGTACAAAGCCATTGGTTGCATTTCTTCCAGTTCATTAATGTGCCGTTTCATCCCATAATGTAGTCTTGGCTTGGGTGTTTATATTGTTCACAGTACTGACCATTGAAAATAATGCATGAAAAATCATATTCTGTTCTTCAGTGATGCTGGGACATTTGCAGTAGAAAAGAAAATCCGAAGCCTCCTCCATTTGACTGGAGCAGGATTTTTACATTCAAGCCCAGAATTTGATTTTTGGTGTTAATCACATGGAGGTTTACTAATATTTGCTGAACAACTTTATAGAGCTATCTACTCATTGTTATTCTGAAAATACTTTTACCAGTGTAATACTGTGCTGTGAGTATATGTTGCAGCATAGGCAAAACAAAATATATGTGGGATAGTGTTTGTCAGGTTGCCTGTGAGCGGCCTGGAGAAGCTTTACTGACATTGGAGTGAGGATTTCTTCTTCCACTGGGCCAGTGCTCCAGCACAGTGCTGCAGGAGGGTAGATAGCTGAAAGTGTGATCTTTCCTGGGAGATACAAAGTGCAGTTACTTCATGCAGATCATAGGCTAATCTAGATATTACTTGTATAGTTTACTGTAGGATTCTGTGAGATATTTATTGATCAGGGCTTCTCCCTTTTTAAAGATAAAAGAGGAAATGAACTATAACTGTAATAACAACATTAATAAAATAAAAACATTAATAAATGTAATAAAAACCATTATTTTCCTTTTCTCATTTTAAGACACCTTAGCTCTGCTTTTAACTGATGTACTACTGTTCTTACAAGAAAAGGATCAAAAATACATCTTTGCAGCTGTTGTAAGTATATTATCAGATGTTTGAATTTACACATTGTTCTTTTATTTGTATATATCTCGAAAATTCGGTCCTTTTCTAGGTTATTTCCACATGTTTTCTTGTTTGTTTTTTCTAAAATGCTGGTGGTGTATTCAGAACAGTAATATGCCAGTATATGGAAAATTGTTTATTTTCAAAATTAAAGCATTTTTTTAGGAAGAAGGATGGAAATAACAGAATGATATGTTTAGTGCCATGCCTTATCTGATTATGAAGGCAGGAAGTAGAGTAGGTTCTTCAATTATCTAAAAGAAATGTTAACTTCTGGTTCAAAAAAAAAAAAACAACCCAAAACCAACCCAAACAATTTTAACTTCAAATGCACACATAAAATGTATGAAAGGTCATGGAGAGAAGTTCCTAAACTATTTAAATATAAACATTATATGAATACTGTGCCTCAGTATCACTGAGCTTCTGGGATTTACTTTTTAGCACATACCAGTGCTTTACTTGTTTATAAATCATAGAATCATAGAACAATTTGAGTTGAAAAGAACCTTAACACTCCCTGCCATGGGCAGGGACACCTTCCACTAGAGCAGGTTGCTCAAAGCCCCATTCAACCTTGAACACTTTCAGGGAGGGGGCAGCCACAAATTCTCTGGGCAACCTGTTCCAGTGTCTCACCAGCCTCACAGGAAAGAATTTCTTCCTTACATCTAATTTAAATTTACCCTCTTTCAGTTTAAAACCATTACCCCTGATCCTATCACTACACTCCCTGATAAAGAGTCCCTCCTCATCTTTCCTGTAGGCCCATTTGAAGTACTGGAAGGCCACTGTAAGGTCTCCCCAGAGCCTTCTCTTCCCCAGGTTGAACCACCCCAACTCTCTCAGCCTGTCCTCACAGGGGAGGTGCTCCAGCCCCCTGATCTTCTTTGTGGTCTCCTCTGGACCCACTTGAGCAGGTCCACGTCCGTCTTATGTTGAGTGCCCCAGAGCTGAACACAGTACTCCAGGTGGGGTCTCATGACAGTGGAGTAGAGGGGGAGAATCACTTCCCTCGACCTGCTGGACACACTTCTCTTGATGCAGCACAGGATACGGTTGGCTTTCTGGGCTGCAAGTGCACATTGCTGGCTCATGTCCAGTTTTTCATCCAGCAGTACTTCCTCAAGTCCTTCTCCACAGGCTGCTCTCAATTCCTTCATCCCCCAGCCTGTATTGATACCAAGGGTTGCCCTGACCCATGTGCAGGACCTTGCACTTGGCCTTGTTGAACTTCATGAGATTTGCATGGGCCCATCTCAAGCCTGTCAAGGTCCCTCTGGATGGCACATCCCTTCCCACCATACCATGCAGCTTGGTGTCACCAGCAAACTTGATGAGGATGCACTCAATCTTAGAATGTATTTTTTAAAATTTAAAGTTTAAAAAGATGTCTGAATACTCCAAATTTGCAGCTTCTTACACCTGGTGAGAACATATGTAGTCTGACTATACCAGGACTAGAATTAGTTCAATTAATTGAAAATCGTGCTCTTTTTAAAGTGGGATGTTTTATAAGAGAGTCATTTATTATTTTCATGTGCTGTGACTGTTTCCCCCAGGATCGGAAGCCTTCTGTTATCTCCCTTCAGAAGCTCATAGTAAGAGAAGTAGCCAATGAAGAAAGGGGGATGTTTCTGATCAGCACATCATCTGCAGGGCCTGAAATGTATGAGGTTCATACCAACTCCAAAGAAGAACGTAACAACTGGATGAGGCATATTCAAGATGCAGTGGAAAGGTAGAGGAAAAAGCTTTTGTTTTTCATCCTGGCAGCCCAAAGCAGATGGGAGGTTAGTTGGATATTCATGGCAGAGTGCTCTCTGTTCTGCTTTGCACTGGATTCATCCTGTGAGGTTGGATTTTCCTCTGAGTTCAGGATTCACAGACCCCAGAACCTCACTGTCACTTCTGCAAAACTTCCCATGTTACTTCTGGTTTCTCACTGAATCAGCAGAGCCTCCCTGCTCCCCATTAGATGTCCTTACCAGCCACCGTAAGCTTTGCTTTACCTTTCCTTTTGGCACTGGATGCTTTCCAGAGTCCTGCAGGTGTCCATACAACCATTTTGGGGAAATCCCCAATCATGCCTGTTATCTTCATGTGAGCTCCTTAAGATTGGCAGGGAAAGCACTGCTCTTCATGGGGTCCAAGTTTATGCTTGGCACAGCAAACCAGCTTGAGGGCTAGCCACCCATTTGTTGCATGGTGCAGCACTGACAGAATTAAAAGGAGTCCTTCATTCTTTCAGATCCCTCAGATTTATGTCCTTACTGCCTTTTAAAGAAACAGACAAATGGTGTGCTTCTGGTTTGTACCAAAAGTTGGTGCTGATGAGTTCTATTTATTATGAAAGCAACACTGTACTTAAGATGAATATACGATGTGCAGATTTTGCTTTATCCACCTTTGTTTGTCTTTTGTCTGTGAAGTTGTCCACAGGAAGAAGAAGGAAAAATGAATGAATCTGATGAGGACAGACATATTGCTGAGGCCAAAGCATCCAGAATTCAGAAATGTCAAGGTGCGGTACCTTTTCTGTCAGCCTGAAAGCTCCTGCATCCTGAGAGTTCAGGATGAGTGAATCATGTGCATATACTGGCTGGTGGGTTCAGAGTGGCTCGATAGGCAGAGTCACAGTGGAGAAGACTGGTGGGATGATGGTATGATGTGAGTTTATTGAAAAAGAACCATTTTCCTTACAAACACTTGTGCAAGTTTTGAGCCTTGCCGGGATGAGAGAGCACGTTGCCATTGCCCCTCCCCCACCTGCGCTGGTCGGGCTGGAAGTTAGACACAGACCCCGGCTAAAATAACAAGAAACTTAATACAACAGAGTGATAGAACAATCTGAACAACAACAGTATCAATGGTAACAACAATAAACAGCAATAACAGTGAACAAGACAAACGATATAAAGAGAAATACCGCTAGCTGGTTTACGGAAAGCAAAATTCCCTCCCGAACCCGCCAAAGAGGAAGGAAAAGTTTCTGCCCCTGGACCTGACGCCAGCATGGTATGAATAACCCGGCTGGAGATCCCTTCCCCCTCTCTCTCTGCTTGGGAGAACTTTATCCTGGCTGAACCAGGACAACAGTTTATTTTTTTTCTACGTTACCATTGGTAAAAAAGAAGAACAATTAATGCTTTCAGAACACTGAATTTCCCAGATTAACATCAGGGCCAGGCAGTTTCTTGTTTGTGGAAATATCTCAAACATTCAGTAATTGTGTGGCTTTGTGCTTGCTTATGGTATTTCATCCTTCACTGCTATTATTTTTATCTGAAAATGTAGCTGATAGGGATAAAATCTGTTTTCTTGGTTCCCCTACATCTAACTTCCACGTCTTTATACTTCTGTGAGGAGAGAAATTTGACCAGTGTCCTTCCTGTAGAGAGCCACAGGGCATTCTCTGCTGAGAGTAGATGTTCTTTGACATTGAGGCACTGAATCAGCACATCTTCTGACTGCCTGAGTCAAGTGCTTTTACAACATTGATCATTTCATGGGTAACAGCAGAGGGCCCCAGAGTGCAGCGAAGGCCATCTCATCAGGTTAGGGCCTTCACTCATTTGGCCTTCTGCCAGGGTCTGTGCCACCTTTCAGTAGGATAGACTATGGGATGAATTTGGTTCCTGGCCACTTAAAAACGGCCTAGCTTGTGTTAGTCATGTATATGTGATGTAAGGATTAGAAGGGTGATAGGGGAACGTACTTTGCCTGCAGAATAAAAACCATTAATATAACATTCAATTTTGTTTGGCAGAATCACTGAATAACCAGGACCATCAGATCTGTAGTTATTTGGAAGAGAAGTTGCGTATCTATGCAGAACTGGGAGGTGTGAGCGGGTTTGAAGGTGTTCATGTAGAACCTTACCTCCTTATCAAACCCAATTCTGGAGAAACTCCACAGGCTGCTTCACTGGTGGCAGCAGCACTCAGAGAAGGTAAGTTTTCATGGGAAGAGAGGACTGGTGGCTCTTCACATGGGCAGATAATTCAAGGTAACAAAGTACAGCTGTGTTGCCTTGTGCTGTCATTCTATCAAGTCTCAAGAACTGGCAGTCAAAACTGAGCAAAGGGCATTGAAGTCTCTCAAGTTCATACTCGTCAGATGCATGAGATGATACCTGTCAGACTGTAAGATAAGGCATATGTTTAGTGCTTAGCATCATATGTAAGCGGGCAGGGACAAGGTGTTAGATTGCACCTGAGGATTGTTTCCTTAGCTGTCCTCTTTGCAGTAGAGGTCTGTGAAGCCGATCACAGGATGCAGTGTGATACTACATCTGATCACTGACCTTCACCTACCCTCGCTGATTTGATGACAGATCAGAATCATGTAGGGTCATATACAGACAAAACTGCACATGATTTTGGCAAATCTGCTAAGACACACCTGCCAGAACTGCTGTAGGAGCCATGTTTTTTTTGCATACTATCTAACAGAGAGATGATAGTCTTGTGCTACCTACAGTGCAGTCCTCTGAAGGAAGGAAGGAAGGGAATGGCATTTGTGGATACCATGCCTAGCTGGAAGTTCAGCTAACTCCTGCTAAACTCAGATGAAAAGAATCCTGGTAAACTAAGCCATATCCAGTATAGGCCATATGCTCTTTGAGAAGGACTACAAGATTTTAGCATCACCTAAACTGACATCTGTGGGCTAAGAAACACATTTCAACCAATAAAGCAGTGAAGATTGGTCTCCATCATCATTAGGAAGTCAGAGGGCATTTTATTGACAAAATTGATAAAACTTGAGTAGGGAATATGTAAGTGATGAAATGGTAAATGTCATTTTAGCTAAAATTGCAGCCTATACTTACACACCTTATTCTGCCCACTTTTAATTTTCACTTTCTCTCATATTAATGTTGGTTTTGATGATGTCTTGGATTTCAGAACTCTTCAGCACACTGTAAGGAACTTACAATTGCTTATACTGTAGGCAATTCATGGGGATTATTTTCCAAAACAGAAATACTAAGTCCCTGAGCTAATAGCAGAGTCTGTAGGAATAAAGTCTCACAGTAGAGGAGGAGTGTTTAAGCAGATTGGATATACAGAAATCCATGAGATGAGATGGAATAAATACAAGGCTGCTCAGGGAGCTGACCAATGTCATTGTGAGACTGCTTTCCATAATCTTTAAAAGGTCACAGTGATCAGGAGAGGTTCCTGATGACTTGAAGGCAAGGATCACAAGGATCACCTCTTGAAGAAGAAATACATAGGAAACTAAGAAGTAGTCAGCTTCACTGCCATCTCTGAGATGATGATAAAGCAAATCCTCCTGGAAACCATTTCCAAGAACATGGGAGACAAGAAAGTGACTGGGAACAGCCAACACAGATTCATCAAGGGCAAATTGTGTCTGACCAGCCTGACAGGTTTTATGATGAGAGGGGAGTGGTACATGTTGTTTACCTTGACATCTGCAAGGCCTTCAACACTGTCTGCATTGTCTGTAGTATCCTTACAGTTCAATTGGTGAGATGCGAACTGCAGTGGCTGGACTGCTGGATGTCCAGCTGGCAACGTGTTATTAGGGGATTCCCTTAGGGATGGATCCTAAGACCAGTGCTGTTATTAATGAATTTAACCAAGGGATTATGTACAGTCCTTGCAAATTCATGTCTGTCACCAAATGAGGTGGGGTGATCAGTGTGCTGGAGAGACCTCTATAGATTGGGAAGGAAACCCCTAGATATTTGACAGAGACAAATGCAAGATCCTGTATCTGAGATGGAGTAATCCCATGTGTTGGTACAAGCTGACTAGATCGAAAATAGCTTTGCAGAAGTGGACCTGGGAATCCAACCTGACAGCAGATTGACCATGAGGTAGCAATGTGCCCTTGTGGCAAAGAAGACCAACTGCCTCCCAGGCTGCTGCATTAGAAGTGGTGCCAGCAGGTTGAGGGAGGTGATCCTTCCTCTGCTTACTCCTAGTGAGTCCTATCTGGAGTGCTGTGACCAGTGCTGGACTTCCCTGGGCATGAGAGACATTGACAAACTGGAGAAAATCCAGTGAAGGTCACCAACATGACTAGGGGGCTGGAGCACATGACATCTGAAGAGGATGAGGTAGCTCGTCTGTTCAGCCTTGAGAGAAGAAGGCCTGGTGGGATCTTATTGCTGTCCTCAGCTGACTTAATAGGAGGTTACAGAGAAGCCAGATTTTTTGCAGAGACACATATTAATAGGACAAGAGGCAATAGGTGCAAGCTGGATCACAGGCAATTCCAATTAAATGAAAGGAAAAATTATATACCATGAGGGTGGCCAAAAACTGGAACAGGTTGCCCAGAGATGCTGTGAAGTCTCAGTCTTTGAAGATGTTAAAAGCTTGTCTGTGCAAAGCTCTGAGCAACCCAATTTAGTTTGATCAGCTTTGAATAGGTGTTGGACTAGATGACCTCTCAAAGTCCCTTCCAACCTATATTATTCTATGATTTGACATCACAGATTTATGTATTCAGGAGCTATTTAAGGGGCCTCTGTAATTCTGCATGTTTTCTTCTCTAGTTGAAAGTCTACATATTGCTGTAATGACATCACAAGTGAGTGAAACAGACAGGTCACCAGAGGAAGGTATTGAGGAACTAAGTGTGAAGGACAGATTTAGTGCCAATGAAATCTTGAAACCTGTTCCTAGTGGTGAGTAGAATTTCATGCTTTTACATATTCAGAGTGCTAAAATAATTGATTCTGGGCTGTTTTTTTGAAAGCTTTCTCAGTCTATGGCAGAATCAATAGAAAATAATGTAACAAAAGTTGTCTTTGGGCAACTACTCAGATAGTGTAAACTGTCATATAACTTCACTGAAGTAAATGGATAGTTTGCATCCACTACATCTTTTTTGTAGCATATGCCTTCATTCAGCAATATTGAATCAGATTTGTGTATCTCCATACACTTTCTCATCACTGTTGCCCAGCTCCACAGAAAATCCATACATTTTCCAAGTCAGCCTGTTTTTATCAGAAGGCCTGAAAACCAGGACTGACATTCCAATAATTTCAGCTATAAAAGGTATCATGGATTTCTTGCAACAAAACGCAAATAAAGTCCTGTAAAAAACATTGCTGCAGAGCATTTTTAGTGATACGGCTATACGTACCTCCAACCTTTTGTAAGTGAAACACTAATTTTTACAGTAGGAAAACTGGATTTTCCCACCTGTGCCATCCTGGCTTCCAATTTTTTTTTTTTTTTCCCAGCCTAGAATCCATTATATATCTCCAAATTATGTAAATCTCTATTTTCAGGATCCTGTGAGGAAGTGTAAAAATAGTGAGTCCTTTGTTTCTTTAGTCAGAATATGCTTTGATACCTTTCTCTTGCATTTTATTGGGGCTTTATTTGTTAGACGCAGAAATAAAAGAAGTTGAAGAATCATCTGAAGTTGATCTCAGTGTTGAAAAGGCATCAGTACATGCCAGTCTAGAAGATAAGGTATTGTAACTGATTTTTCTTCTTGTGTTGCACGTACCACCCTGGGCACTGTCCAAATTTTTATGGGGTATCTAAAGACTGTTCCAACACACAAAGCATGGAATAGGCACAATTCACCCAAATCCAGATAATTCAATTTAATAGCAGTCACTGCAATTAATAATGAATTTTTAAAAGGCAGTCATAAACAATCCAAATGCAGAACAATTTTCCTGCCAGGTTTACAGATTGCTGGATTGTAATAACAGCCATTGTTTCTGTACCACTTGCATGGGCCACTTAGGAGCCTGGTTCTCTGCTGTCATCATTCAATACATCCATCTCTATGGATCTGACAATAGTATCCCATCTACTCCCTCCTCCTATTCACAGGATGATGAAAGTCTCCTGCAATGACAGACACCTCAGCTAATGCAAGAAAGACTTATGCACTGGAAGAACTTCATCCTGAGAACAAGCATAAAAAATAGGATGGATTGTCTTACACCAGCTTGCTTCAGAATTATGAATTAAAACAAAATGGAGCATTAGAGAATAGAAGAGAAACTGTCCATTTTTCAAAGTCCTGTAACTCATAAGCAAATCTGGGGAAAAAGCAGAATCAAAAGTCAGTCCTGGGCAAAATTAGGAATGGCAAATTTTATATAGCAGCAGAGTGTTAGAGTAAGAGCAGTATGAATTACTATGTGGAAATAAAGTGAACTGTAATTGTGGAGTTCTTAGATGGAGAAGCAGGACCACAAAAGGGATAAAAGGGAGAGAGAAGAAGAGAAGATACATGACTTGAAATGGAAAGCAAAGTTTGCTTTAGAAAAAGAGATACTTAATGTTAACATACTGTCTTTGCATCAGATCTGAAAGAGCACTTGTGTGCCTGAAACCTTGGAGTTTTTTCCTAGCTATTTCTGGAAGACTTTTGCTAATGCACTAATCTTCCTATAAACTTGCCTCATGTTCAGCTCTAGGTCATCCTACTTACCAGACTGCTGTGTTAGAAGGGTGTAGGATGAAGAGTGTGTGTAGAAAAAATAGGATGAAAACAAAAGTCCAAGTGAGGGAACACAGAAACTAGGTGAGGAGAAATAAAACAACCTAATGGAGGATAGAGGGGCTCAGATTTAGCCCATTAAAAGTTCCGGTAGCTTCACATGAAAACATTGCCATTGGGGTTATAGAGAAGATAGAACCAGGCTTTTCTCAGAGGTGCACAGCAAAAGGATGAACATCCCAAATTAGAAGTTACAGCAAGGGAAATTCTGACTGTATATAAGGAAAGAAAATTAGGGAAATCAAGCAGGAACAGGTTGTCCTGAGAGGTTGTAGGGTCTCCACAGAATCACAGAATGGTTTGGGTTGGAAGGGGCCTTAAAGATCATGTAGTTCCAACCCCCCTGTCATGAGCAGGGACACCTTCCACTAGCCCAGGTTGCTCAGAGCCCCGTCCAACCTGGCCTTGAACACTGCCAGGGAGGGGGCAGCCACAGCTTCTCTGGGCAACCTGTGCCAGTGCCTCACCACCCTCATAGTAAAGAATTTATTCCTTAACTGTAAACTAAATCTACCTTCTTTCAGTTTAAAGCCATTATCCCTCATGCTATCCCAGAGTTGACTGGGGAAGGCCCTGAGCAACCTCATCTAATTTTGAAACTAGCCCTGCTTTGAGCTGCAGCTGGACTAAAGGGATCTGCAGCAAACTATTCCACCCTAAGTTACTGTTCTGGTCTGGGCTATTATTTGGGCAAGAGTCGTCACATTTTACTATGTCAGAATCAGGTTTACCAGGAGGTGGCAGAATGAGCAAACAAAACAGGCAAGGCAAGTGCTTTCAAGGGTGGAGGGTGTTCTCCTGCCTGCCTTCAGTCGCTGGGTGTGCAGTCATGGGTTTGTGGGGTGGCAGCACCGGGCTCAGGCTGGCTAGTCTGCGAAACCAAGAGGTGATGAGCCGGTGCAGAAACCTCCAGCTCGGGGGTTAGATGCTGACCAACCATCAGAAACAAGACCGTTGTCTGTGCAAGATGTGAAGTCCCAAGTGGGCAGCTGTGAGAGGTGGTCCCCATCTCATCCGCCCCAGTTCCTGCCTTGTAATCACATCTCCGGGGGCTTGTCTGAGGCAGTGTGCTGGGATCTGACCATCCTCATCTCCGCTGCTCATTGCTCTGAACCAAGCCGGTAGGGAGGGCTGCCAGGGAGGTGGAAGCACCCTGCACGACAGGTTAAGTAGTTGAATATATTGCTTCAGACCAAGCTGGACTTCCAGGGCTTGTGCTGAAGCTGGAGAGGTGCAGCTGCAATGCTGCTGTCAAACTAAACCTGCCTTGGGCTCATCCCCTAGTGCTCAGGTGGTGCTGCAGTGAGGAGACCAGAGGTACTTGGGCTGGCCACTTGTTACCCCTTGGCCATACCAAAGCCAGCCAGTCCTTCAGTACCCCTGTATACCTCCTTTTTTGAACTAAAAAGGGCTTCAAAAACTGAAGGAATCCCCACTCACGTTCAGCATGTGGGCTCTCCTTTGTACACTCACTCTTTCTCATCCTGACAGCATCTCATTCTCTTCTGTCCATTTTGACTCTGCTCTTTCTCCTTGCCCACTACTCATCTTGGCCACCCAGCAAAGGGAAAGCGGAGCTCCCTTGTGTCAGTCCTTGTACTGCACAGAGACAAAGATCCTGCAAAGTCCTCTGCTTCTTACAGCAGAGGTGAGCAGTTATGTAGCCCATGGGTGCGGTGAGAAGTGGAGGAGGAGGTGAAGATGTGGAGAGACAAGGGAGGGAAATACTGAAGGGAGAAAATGAGAGAGGGAGGAAGAGGAGTAGAGGAAGTGCTGCAGCTGGTGCTCCTTTTTTCCCTAGCTTGTCTGCACTGAACTCTATACTGGGGCCTGGGGGTTTTTATCTTCATTTTCAGTTATCACAGATAAATTGAGCAGCTGCTTTGCTCTCTGTGTTGGAAATGAGTCTCAGTAGAGAATTTAGCAGAATCAGAGAGAGAGCAAATATTCCCCAAACCCTCCTTTGCTCCTCTGAAAAAAAAAAAAATCATGCAGGAAGTCTCAGAAGAGATGTTTTATTTCTCCACTGAGAAGAAACCTTATCTTTTTCAGAGGAGCTGTTCTTCGTGATGAAGGGCTTATGGGTTGCATCACCCCATAAATTTAGAAAGCTTCTTAGGAAATGGGGGCAGGGTGAAAAGTGTGAAGTGGCTGAGCTTTGCTGCAGTGGACAATCGTAACCACAGTGCATTTTGTAGAGTATAGTGAGCACGCAGCTTTTGCTCAGTGCCTCACAGTACCTCTAAGGCATTTGCTGTAATCCGTAATGTGACTTCTGCTAGCTGCTTTCTACATTAACATCTCTATTTTTGAAGAGTCTTGTGCTGTTTCATCCTACTATAACTAATTTAAACCCAGTGTGCTGTATATACAGAAGTCTGGTTTCTGTATTTCAAAACTGTCAAGTAAACAAGAAATTAATGGAAATGTCTTTTCTGTGCAGCATTAGTCACAAGAGGATTAAAATTGTGGATGAAATATTTTTGTTTATACAGTTGTGCTTAGAATCTATAGTGATTCCCATGGAAACTCCAGTGTTGATGAATTATTAGTCTTCATAGGTTACTGCTTCTGTTTTTTTTCAAATACCCACAAGAAGGTTTGACTCAGCACTGCATAGTTTAGCAATATGAATGTCTCCACTAGTTGGTTGTTGGGTTGTTTTTTAATCACCTAGATGATACAATTTTAAAGTTAAAAACTACTTTTTAAACAACATGGGTTTATTTTAGGGAGGAAGTATGAGTTTCCCAGGATCTACTGGGACAGACGTGAGTTTATTTAAGACAGAATGTAGTAACTATTTAGTTAACGATGGTCAAACCTTTGAAAATCTTTCTCTTTTGTTTTCTAGATTGTACAAGCAATCCAGAATTTAACCTGCCTCTTGTACAGCATACAGGTGACTACTCCACTGCTAACATTGTAATTAGTCTTAATAACTTAAGGTTTGTTTTCATGTTGCCCTGCATTTAGACATTATATCAGTGGATACTTATCTCTACTGGCTGTTGCATAAGTTGTCATATAAAATATTTTTATTCTACATCAGTGGCAGGTTTCTTTATAAAAACTGAAAAATTCTTGCTTGCTTGGGGAGCAGTGCACCCAAAAAAGGATGTATGTAAAGTTCAAAACTCTGGGGGGAAATTAAAATCATGGCTTTAACTGAACTAATGTAATTTCATGTACAAATTCCAGAAATTATAGTTCAAAATATTGAAAAATGTTTGTATTTTGTCTAGAATATTCTCTTTGTTACTAATAAACAGTGCCTCTGCCACTTAGGTAGCAAACTCAACCCGTTTTAGATATTTCAATCTCAATTAATTGTTGTGTATATTTTGCAGGGTCTTAGTCTGAAGGTTTTGCATCTTTCATGCTAAGTTGGAATGTTTTAACTTGTTTTTTCTTCTTTAGATGTAGTTTTATAGTTCTATTTTAAAATATTTGATTTGAGTATGTTGAATTTTTATTAATAGCATATTTCATAATAATCCTGGAAACCTTGGTCCTAAACGTTAAGTGGATTAAAGCAATGCAAAAGCAAAATAAAAGGCTCTAATTCAGGTAAAATTTTTAAAAAATTAAAAACCAGATAGATTAACACCAGAGGGGCAGTAAAGTAAGGCCCAAGCATTCCTTCATTGTTAAGACCGTGAATTGGCAGTATAGGTGCAGGTAAACAAGTAGATGCTCCTGTCCTTGCCCTGTTTACAAATCACTGGAGCTCACCCAATACTGGAGTAAGATCCAAGAAGTGGGAACTTAACCTTGCATAAAGTTAGAAACTCCTGTGGTGGAGGGCATGGGGTAACAGGGCTGCAGGAATTCTCTGGGAATGTCTGCCAAACTAGGTTCCCATGTCTGCTCTTGAAGGCAGACTGTGCAATAAGTGCCTCAGCAGATCTAAGGCTTTCTTGCTTTTCTTTCTTAATCCCAGCTGTATTTTTTGTGTTATTGGAGGATGTCATAATCTTTAATGCAAACAATGTCACAACATCCTTGTGAATGATGGAATATAGCACTCTTAGTTGTAAAATAAAGCTGAAATCATTATTATACTGCCGATTTCTGCTGCCACCAGATCCCTTGGTCAGGGGCCTGTAGCAGTACGGTCCTGATGACATGGCTGCATTGGCAGGTGCCTGTAAGACTGATGTTAGTAGGACTGTACTGTTGCAGGTTAGCAAGGAGAGCCTTAGGGTTGGAAACCGTACAGTTTTATTTGTATAAGCCACATCTATGTTGGGAATACATTGTTGAGTGTAGCATTTCCAGCACCTTAATGCCCTCTTTAACCATGAAAACTCATTTTTCCTCTGTGTCTTAACATCCTCTGACAGAAGAGGACTCCAGTAGTAACTGAAGTACATATGCACAGCTGTAACATAAACATATGTTATAATACTACGTGTAAACCAGAAGCCAGTCAAAAGTGCTTGAAATGGTTGCATGCTTTTAGAAACCTCTTGGTAAAGGCATGAACACAGAATTTTGTCTACTTGCATGAGAAATAACCACCCAAAAAGCATGAACTGCTGATATTATGGGAGGTTGAAGCATTTTTACTTAACGCTTCTGTGTAAAAATACAGAAATGAATTAATACTAATATTTAAACATTTGTATCTTGATTTTGTTGTGGTGTCTAGGCAGCACTAGCTATCCAGGACAGCCACAGAGAGCTCAATAGGTTACTCCTTCAGGAGAATGAGAAGACCGGTTTTTGGCTAAACCTCCTTCCAGAACAAGAAAAACACCAGAATCTGGAAAAACAAAAGGCAGAGCTGGCCAACATACACAAACTAAAGCAGCAGTTTCAGCAAGAGCAGCATCAGTGGCTGCATGAGTGTGACGAACGGCAGCGGGAGCTGGAGGCGAAGGAGAGCTGGCTGGGGCAGCGGGAGAGGGAGTGCAGGTACCAGGAGAAGCTGCTGGAGAGGAGCCAACAGGAACTGGTTGTGCAGCTGCAGGAGTACCATCAGAGCCTGGAGAGACTCCAAGAGGGCCAGAAAAAGGTGGAGAGAGAAAGAGCCAGTGTGAAAATGCAGAAGCAGCTCCTCTGGCACTGGAAGCACTGTCATCAAAGCAGCCTGTTTTCATCCTCAGGGAGCTACGAGGTATGTGGTTCCTTGCTGTAATTATATCCCTGACTGCAGACCTAGAAATACATTCCTTGATGAATAGACTAGTACATCTGGGTTTTGTTGGGTGTTAGTGTAATGAGTGAGCATATAGTAAGCTGAGGTTCAGGCATATCCAAGGGCTTTGTTTGAACCTCGTGAAGTTTAACCAGGGGAAGTGCAGAGTCCTGCTGCTGTATGCATCAATATATGCTGGTGACCAACCAGATGTAAAGCAGATTTGCAGAAAAGGCCAACAATGTGCCCTGGCCACAAAGAAGGCTAGTGGTCTCCGGGGCTGCATTAGGCAAAGTATTGCTAGTAGGTCAAGGGAGGTGATCTGGAGTACTCTATCCAGTTCTGCCTCCCCAGTATGAGAGAGACATAGATCTATGGTGTGGGGGGTTGAAAGATGGGGATGGGTGTCCAGTGAAGGGCCACAAAGATGTTTGAGGGACTGGGACATCTCTCTTATGGGGAATGGCTGAGACTGTTCAGCCTGTAGAATAAAAGGCTCATGGTGGTTCTTATTAGTGCCCAGAGACCATGGGCATGAACAGAAAAACAGGAGGTTCCCTTTGAACATCAGGAAACACTTTTTTGTTGTGAGGGGGACCAAGCACTGGCACAGGTTAGCCAGGGAGGTTGTGGAGTCTTCATCACTGGAGATACTGAGAAGGTGTCTCGATATGGTCTGGGTGGCCCTGCTTGAAGAGAGGGATTGAACCATACACCCTTCAGAGGCCCCTTCCAATCTCAACCGTTCTGGGATTTTAAGCTGGGTGGCCTACAGAAGCCAAACTTAACTGATGGGTATTAAATTGAGGAGATGGAAATTGTGAAAATCTGTATTTTATTCTGCTTTGCTGCTGTGTTTGCAAGACACATTGTGTCTCCTGCCTTTTGTAGGAAAGTTGAATTATTGTAATGTTTGAGGCGTACAAAGCTTTTAGTGAAGTCTTTGGCTACTGTCCTTGTTCCTGGACAACAGCAGTCTCCAGCGAGGGAAAGCGGTTACTCTGGGAGTGGGAAACACCAGGTTCCCGTGAACCTCATGTGTTAGGCCCTGCTGTCCCACTTCCCTGAAACAAGCAGCCCCTTAGGGGAAGAGATTGGTGTGCAGCTCCATCCCTGACAGTATAATTTGTTGGAGATGGTCATTATTAGGGAATGCAATTTAAAGTAGCTCTGAAGCTGCTTAAGCATTAAATACTAAAAATAAGTTTTTGTTGGGAGTAAAAGATAGAGGCCGACTCTGAACTCAACTGTCTGGGTGCTCACCTGCCAGGTGGGATCTGGCTTCTAGTCCCTGCCTTGGTGGGTATGGTCTCAACTTCCATTACTGTTCTCTAAAGCACCTGACAATCAAAACATTTTTCCTGGCTTTTGCATATATTGAAAACTCCCTGACCCACAGAGCCGTCTTTCCCCCAGGTTTTCATTTTCACAAGAAAATCTGTAGGGCCTTTCTTCAGGCTGTCACCTCCCTAGTTTTTCAGCTGCCAACTGACCCATAATGGGCAGTGACCATTTGGCGTCTAAGCCTGTGCCTGTATGAGAGGGTGAAGGATTGGCCTCTGACCTCCTCCTTTTTATCCAGCTTTTGTGAACATGACTTATCCATATATGCTTGCCCAGCCCAAAGGATGAAGGTGGTACTTACTATTATAGCTTGTGGTACAATTTTGACTTGTTTGGCAGTGCTTAAGAAGTGGATGATAAAACCAAAACTGAACTTACACATCAGCTTTAATGGATGGGACTTCTGAAATCTTTACAGGAGAGGAAGTTGAGGGACAACGGTCTGATGCAGGGATGACCAGGACTGCACACAGATTGAGGCAAAATAATAAAATGCTGAGTGTCAAAGAATAGTAGTTCCTAATATTTAATGTGTATTTTTATTTCAAGTAAACTACATGACTTTGGATGCATTCCAGGACTTGGAATCATTTCCATTTTCTTGCAGCAGCAGAGGTGGCTCAGTGGTTGCCAGTCAGCCAGTATTCCCAGCCCAGTGGTTTTGCCATTATACAGAACCTAGCTAGTTTTGGATGGCCAAACATTGCAGTAACTCACACTGCTACTCCTGCTTTTTTGTGAGCTCAGCCTTGATAAATACCTGCAGGCAGGAAGTCTTTGCAGGATTTGCATTGCCCTGGGAGCCATGGCTGCTTGCTGAATGCTGTTTGCCATCCTCGATTTGGCTGCTGCAGTCCTATTCTCTATGATTACGTCTATGGGAGGTACAGTGTTACTTTTAGATTGCAGTGTACACAGTTTTACAAATGTGAAATGGTACCTCATTGAGCCATAGGGCAAAATATTAACCCCCTGAAAGGAGTCAGCAGAACTCAGTGACTCCTAAGTAGCAGCCCTTTGTTATTTGCTATTTCACAATTATGTCCGAATTTTCCTGTGTTTTGAGGGGAGCTAAGGCAAAATGTGCTAGTTTACTGCTGTTTGTCCCTGAACTCACATCCCATTTAATATGTTTTGAGGTTAACTTTTGGAAGATTAGGTGACTGTTTGCTACAAATCCCCATTCTGTCTGGCAGTTCATTTTATGTATCCTGGTGTAAGAATTCCTTGGGACAATGTTCTTAGTCATATGGTTTAGTTTTACGTAGTCATGTGAGGAGCAGGGAGTTGGAATTGATGATCCTGATGGGTTGCTTCCAGCTCGAGATATTCTATTATTCTGCTGCTGGACAAAGGTGAAAATGCTGTTAAGTTGTTGGGTTTTGTTGGTTGTTTTTTTCCCCCTTCTACAGATAATGGGACATAATCAATCAGACGGTTTATGTGGCAAAAATACATTCTGCTTAAATGAAGCTGTAGTGTGTATGTCTCTAAGCAGTCTCAACAGATCAGAGTCTTCTCTCATTTATGAGGTTGGTGTGTATGGGCTGAACATCTCAAATTCTGATATGGCAAAGACTAGTGAAAATCAGGTCGACCTCGAAATGGACACTTCTTGTCAGCCAACATTGAGTGCACTGTGGATATCCACTGGTCCTTACCAGCAGATGTCTTTTTTCCTGCAAAACCAACAAAGATGCCTTTAATAATGATAATTAACACTTTATTTAATTAACAAGTAGTACTGGCAGTTTGCCACCTCTCAGAATGAATAGTCCTAGAAAATAAGACAGTTTGCTATGAGTGGAAGCAATAGATTTTCCTAAAACAATTGCATGACACTTTTGGAAGCTTGTTGAAGGCAAGTGAGAAAATGAACAGAACAATCCAGAAAACTGCTGAAAAAAAACCAGTTTGTGTCTGCATAACAGTACTCAGAATGTTGTTCTCCCCATATCTTTTCCCAGTGCTTTTTGACCTTGGGGTTTTTTTGCAAGCTGAAGTCACTCTTGCTGTTTCAGGTGCATTTTATTGGCAATTTTAGAACATATGTGCATTACTTGATGATTTCTAGTTAGAATAGCTTTTGAATTGCCATCTTAAAATGATAATGAGTAGTCGAACATCCTCTTCTTTCTTCATTGAGAATTTAATGGAAATATCTTGAAAGGCTCTATAGTTGTGGAGAGAAAATCCTTCTAAGGAATAATCTTTGACAACAAGCTTCCATGTTAGTAAAAACAGCTTTTACTACATTACCATTTTTTATTCTTTTATTTTATCAGAACACCCAATGATATGTAGATTGCATGACAGCTATTGACAGTGGCTATCAAGAATGGTGGAAGAAGCCACCTATCTGAGCACTGCATTGCACTGAATATTCCCTGAAGGATTTAAAAACTCACTAATGACAAACTCTAAATTATCTGGGTTTTATTTCCTATGTTGCACAATGCTAGTATTGATCTGACTTTGTGTCTTCATTCTTGCATTATTGTGAGAGTTGCAGAGCAGCATGTTAAAACACAACAGCTAAAAGTCTTAGGGGACAATGGTATGCTTTTGATGTAATAGATTAAGTAATCTGGGGGATTTTCCTGCACAGTTGTGAAATTAAGGTGAGACATGGCAAGTCAACCCTGTAGCAGTGCCTGAGCTCCCATTTTTCTGCAGCTGGCAGTGCAGGATGACTCCTGTCCTCCCACCAGCTGCATACAGGTCAGGTCACATTAAAAACAGTTGAAAACATACACAGGTACCAATGTTTTTTAATTGTTTTAGGTCAAATCTTGATGTTTTTCAAATAAAGAAGTCCTTGATTAAGGAACTTGCGCCTTAGTACACCTTGTAATGTATTAAGCAGGCATCTACTATAGCCTTGCTAGTCCTCGGTTCATGGGTTGCCAAAATAGCGTTTTATAATCAAAGGTAGTAGGGCAGGCTATCTCATCACCGCAATCAGCAAACCAAGCTGATTAGTAAAAGATATTAATATTTCTAAAAATGCCTAAATAATTAGCCTGGTGAGACTTGTTCTAGTTTGAATGAAGTTGTCATTTTAGTAATAGGTTAGCTAAGAGTGCAGATTTGAAAAGGAACACATATATGGGTTGATACCTCTCAAAAGTGGATTAGCTGGCACTGGCAAATGTTCAGATGCAAGATAACCAGGATACTGTCTATTGAGCCCACATGAGAGTGTCTGGTTTAATTAAACTGGCTTGTATCAATTTAATTGCACTGATTCTAAGATACGCTGGAGGAGCTTCTGTATGTAAAGCTGCTTTTCACCTACAATTGGTCAGCTTTGTCTTCAGCTGCTGCCACTGCATTTTGTGTGGACATCCTTATCTTGCCCTGATAACAGGGCACCAGTTTAGTCCCAGCAGCTTGAGTCAAGCACTGGCTACAAAGCATGCCCAAGAGGTAAACAGTGTAAGTCTCTCTGGCTAAGTCATGTCCCTTGAAATCTGCAGTTACTGTCCTGACTGAGTCACAAGACACCTTTGGCAAAATGCAGCAAATCCTTGCAGCATCCTGATGGTGCAGATGGTGCTACAAAGCCCCACAACACATTGCCAGAGCAGACGGCTGGGACCCTCCCCCAGAGAGGTGTGCCATCATATTCCACAGTCAAATTTGTGATTGGATGGCGACAACTAATTTATGCTCTGATTGTGCAGTGCATGAGTCTGCATGATTCAGACTTGCTTCTGTCATGCATCAGGACCACCATACAGGGGGTGGGGAATGAGAATGCTAAAATTCCCCCTGAAAGACAGATAGCATCCAAGGCTCTGCACATGGAAGTGAAGCTTCACCAATGTGAATCAAGCAGAGCAGTTACAAACATTTCATACAGGAAGCTGATTTCGTTTATTTTGGCTGTGCTTTTTCCCTGAGAGTTTTGTAGAGATTAAGAAGATCTCTGACCTTGTGCCTCTGTTTCCTGACAGCACCGCAGGATATAGTCAGTTCTGATCACTGTGAAGTAAAACCAACAGAGATGCAGAAAGACGAGAAAGAACATGAAAGTTAGCCAAAACTTTCAATATTTTCATGTGAATGTTTCATGACATTTTTCTGCATTTTTTCAACCAGCTCTGTGTATAAAGTCTCACAATCATCTTTCAAAAACATTCCTAAATAATAAGTCAAAATGGAACTAAGAAACAAATACTGAGTATGGGTTATTGGAAATAGCCATGTACCGGATACTATGGCCAGATCTTGCATATAGTAAGCTTTATGTGTACACAAAAGGAATTTCTTGGGTTTTATTAACTTTTCTAGAATTGTTAGGCATTCTGTAAGAAGTCTAGTCTGTCAGAAAAAAAATTGAAATTATTTAATGAGGAGCACCACCTGAACATGTCAAGGAGTTAATCATGCTGCATTCCACTGTATGTTAAGTACTATGCAATTTAGCTTCATAAATATACTCAAATGTAAATGGCTACATTCCTCCAGTGCATAATTTTCCTTTCATATTTTCCAAGGTAAGATATATGTCTCTTCATATAGCTAGCATCATGATTATATACAATTGTTTTATGTGTATGGGAGTGAACTTTACTAAAGACCTTGAGGCAAGTTCCCACAAGGCTGAAACTGGCGCAAGTACACTCACTATAGAAAAGGTGTGTCATCAACAATAGGGAAATATGATTGAAAGGAAAACGTGTTAACGCTCTACACTAATGGTTATGAAATTATCTGCATGAAAGCAGACAGGTACTTTGGCTAATTAGGAGTCGGGAAGTGTAGGTTTTGTGTCAGACTAGCCTGAGAATTGAATAAATTACTCTTGTATTTAATTGACATGACAGGTTAACTAGTTGAAGTGATGCCTAAGGTTTTACCTATGGATTCACCCCTTTGATTTCAGGAATCAGTGCAATTTTAATTCTTTTAAGCTTTGAAGTGAACAGCATTGTTCACTAGCACTGACTTTACTTTTTTTTATTCAGATGTTGTAACTACAGGTACAGAATTGAAAAGTGATAAATCTCAAAAACCACACTGAATCTTCCTTCTGGGAGTTTTTTTTCCCCAGGCATTTGCACTGTTAGCATAGAAGGATTTTTATGCATGATGTAGTGAAAAATATAGTTTAAATCTTTATGTGGAACATAAAAAAACCCTGGGATCTCAGGAACACATCCAAACCTGGAAACAGCTGAATGCCAAACCAGAGAGCAAAAATAGGGCTCTATTTGACTAATGTGATTTTAATCTTTTTTAGAGGAGAGAAATTTGTACATATATGCATATAAGCAAATGAGAGAGTTTGATTTTGGCAAAATAATCCATTTATAGTGAATTTCATCAAGGAAAGTGGCTTCTAGAGATGTAAAAATCTGTAATTTGCAGTAGAAAAAGCAAAAACCCCAGAAACAATGTCTAGTATTCTGTAACTCAATTTTTTTTCCTTATTTTTAAAAAGAAATTCCCTTCCCATTCCTTAAGGCAGATTGTGCTAATGGTGATTGCTCTATTGAACTTGTTCTTAAAACTGTAGATCAGATTAATCTGTTCTAGTTTCCCACTGGTAATTGAGATGAGGTTTAGAACAACACATTACTTTTTGGCTACCTTAACATCAGTTATGGCCTAATGACATTGTATAAAGGTACCTGCATATGTTTGCATCAGGGAGAATGAGAATGGTGCTGTATGGTCCTGTCTTTCTTCTCATATTTCTGTAAGGCAAATACTGCCCTCAGAAGAGGTATACAATGTAAAGCTGATGCAAGTGCAATTAAAAAAAACCCCCAAAACCTAACAAAAAAACCCAAACCCAAAACCAGGTGAAATATGCTTTGCACTACAGTGTTAAAAAGTCATGTGAAGACATACAAGCTGTCTCCCTGTGATTCCAAGTCAGTACAGGATTTGGCAAGGTGCAAAGCTCTAACTCAGGGGCTTATTCAAATAAGCATAGCCACTGCTGCCAGAGGTGGTTAATGGAATCCTGTATTGGGAACTTTGTTGAATGAGATCGCTTTCATTGCTTGGAACCTGTTAAATAATTACTAGTTCATGCAAAAATAGTCATCACAGGTCTGCATGTGTGACAACTCTGAGTTAATTTCTGTACTACTGCTGCTGTATGAACTCATTCTGAGCACATCTGACCTGCCTGTGTTCTGAGCTGGAATGTATTTGTGCTCTGTACAGTACAGCACACACTTTGCACACCTCCTGCCAACAGCAGGCTAACCCCTTGCTACTTGCAGAATATATTGCACGTGAAGATGCTTTTCTACCTATTTTGAGTTTTTCTTGTATGGTTCACAGTGTTTTGAATAATGCAATTTTTTTTTACTGTTTACTCAACATGCAATTGATTACAAATTTCCCTTTCTGTGTTCAACATAGCCTTCTAGTCTTAGCATGGATGTGTGCATAGGTGAGCACAGAGCACATTCACTGCTCAACATAAGTTATAATGAGAATAAAATGAAATGCAATGATATAAGAATATGAAGTTGTAACATCAGCACCCACATCTTCCAAGTTCAAAATCGCATCAATTTATTAGAACAAGTAAAATCTTACTTTTAATTCTGCAACCGATCACAGCAAATTTGCCTCCTCTCCATACCAGGAACACTGAGTTTCATGCTCTGCCATAAGACATCAGTGTCTCTATGGTACTTTGTGGAAGTGAATCACAGGGCAAGTATTTTTTTCCTCTTGGGAATAACATTGCCATTTGTTTAAAGCAGATGGCAAAAGGGATTAAATCACATGGCAGTGTGATACCAAAGTGAAAAATATGTCATTATATGTCATCTGCAATTAGGTATTTCAAGTAACACTTGCTTTTCAGCTTTGCAGCGCTAAGGATTTTGTAGTTCGAATTTTCGCATCTCAGAATACTTTTTCTTATTTCTGAACATAACCACAGTAGATGCAGCAGTATTACATAACCTTTTATTAAAGCAGTTAATAATGTTCTTGTTTTATTTTGTACACTAATGGAAGTATAGAATTTCCAGTGTAATGCGTGGCTGATTTTATTGTTTCTAATTCTTCTCATTTAGAGCTCATTCATTAGGAAGAGAGTTAAAAATAGTGCACATCTTTGAGGTGATGAATGGAGTGAAGTCCATCACTGCCTTCTGACGTACCACTGGTGTTGGTGTAAATCTGCACACCATACTCAGGGTTTTATTGCCTGCAGACTTCTTAAATAGCAATAGGATGATATTTTATCACTTTCCTCATATTTATGATTCCAGCAGCTGCAGTACAGTGAAAAACTTTTTTGCAGTCAGTGGAATTACTGGCACAAATGATACTGGAATGGTTTGGACCATAGTTCTTATATGC